TGGACATTGCAAGGCATAAGCCTTGCCAGGTTCTATGTGCTGTTTAGTCTGCAGGCTTACAGAATACAAGAGTGAAGGAGGCTTGGCCGCTCCACATAGATTTCAGAGTATGTATGAGAAAGGCAGGGTGCCCAGGCAGAAACCTGCTGCAGGACTGAAGCCCCTGCAGAGAGACTCTAGCAGGGCAGTGCCAATGGGAAATGTGGGATTGAAGCACTCACACTGAGTCCTCACTGGGCACTACCTAGTGGAACTGTGGGAATAGGACCACTGCGCTCCAGATCCCAGCATGGTACAGCCACCAACAGCTTGACACCTCAGCATGGAAAAGCAGCAAGCATTAGACTCAAATCAGTGACAGAAGCCATGGGGGCTCCACCCTGAAAAGCCACAGTAGTGGGGATGACTAATGCCTTGGGACCCCACCCCCTTTTTTTAGTGTGCCCAGGATGAGAGAGATGGAATCAAGGGAGATTATTTTGGAGCTTTGAGATTTAATGTTGACACTGCTAGGTTTTAGATTTGCATGGGGCACGTCGCCCCTTTATTTTGGCTGTTTTCTCCCTCTTGGAATGGAAATGTCTACCCAATGCCTGTACCACCGTAGTATCTTGGGAGTAATAACATGTTTTTGAACTCACAAGCTCATAAGTGAAGGCAACATACCTTAAGTCTCAAATTAAATTTTGGACCTTGGACTTTTTATTGAATTAATGCTGGAATAAGTTAAGATTTGGGGGGACTATTGGGAAGGGATGATTGTATTTTGCAATATAAAACATACATGAGATTTGGTGGCCAGTGGCAGAATGATATGGTTTGGATGTTTTGTCCCCTCAATATTTCATGTTGAAGTATAATCCCTGATATTGGAGGTGGGGCCTGATGGGAGGTGTTTTGGTCATGGGAATGGATTCCCCATAAATGACTTTGTGCCCACTTCATAATAAACAGTGAGTTCTCACTCTGAGTTCAGATTAAAAGCGTGGCACCCACCCACTGCTGCTTTCTCACCATGTGATAAGCCTGCTCCCCCTTCACCTTCTGCCATGAGTGGAAGCTTCCTGAGACCCTCAGCAGAAGCAATGCTGGTACCATGCATGTATAGCCTGTCAGAAGTCAAATCAGGAATGCAATGTCATTCACAACAGCCACAAAATGAATGAGGATACTGAAGAAATACCACTAACCAGGGAGGTGCAAGATCTCTTCACTGAGAATTACAAAACACTGCTCAAAGAAACCAGAGATGATACAAACAAATAGAAAAAGATACTATGCTCATAGATAGGAAGAATTAATATTGTCAAAATGACCACGCTGCCCAAAGCAATTTACAGATTCAATGCCATTCCTATCAAACTACCAATGGCATTCTTCACAGAACAAGAAAACATTATTTTAAAATTTATATGGAACCAAAAAAAAAAAAAAGAGAGAGAGCCTGAATAGCCAAGGCAATCCTAAACAAAAATAACAAAGCAGGAGGCATCAAGCTACCTGACTTCAAACTATACTACAGGTCTACAGTAACCAAATCAGCATGGTATTGGTACAAAAATAGATACATAGGCCTGCAACCATCTGATCTTCAACAAAGCTGACAAAAACAAGCAATGGAGAAAGGATTCCCTATTCAATAAATGGTTCTGGAATAACTGGCTAGCCGTATGCAGATCGAAACTGGGCCCCTCCTATACAGAAATCAGCACAAGATGGATTAAAGACTGAAATGTAAAACCCGATTTATTAAAACTATGGAAGACAATGGAGGCAATACCATTCTGGACACAGGAACTGGCGAAGGTTTCATGAGGAAGATGCCAAAACCAATTGCAACAAAGGCAAAAATTGACAAATGGGGTCTACTGAAACTAAAGAGCTTCTGCACAGCAAAAGAAACTAGTAGCACAGTAAACAAACAACCTACAAAATGGGAAAAAATATTTGCAAACTATGCATGTGGCAAGAGTCTAATATTCAGCATTTGTAAGTAACTTAAACAAATTTACAAGAAAAAAAACCGATCCCATTAAAAAGAGGGCAAAGGATATGAACAGACACTTTTCAAAAGAAGATAAACATGCAGTCAGCAGCATATTTTAAAAGCTCAATATCACTGATCATTAGATAAATGCAAATCAAAATCACAATGAGATACCATCTTGCAGCAGTCAGGATGGTTAGTATTAAAAAGAAAAAATAACAGATGCTGGCAAGGTTGCAGAGAAAAGGGAACATTTATACATTGTTGGTGGGATTGTAAATTAATTCAATCACTGTGGAAAGTAGTGTGATGATTCATCAAAGAGCTAAAAACAGAACTACTATTTGACCCTGCAATCCCATTACTGGCTATATATCCAAAGGAACATACACCATTCTATCATAAAGACACATGCATGTGTATGTTCATTGCAGCACATTACTCACAATAGCAAAGGCATGGAATCAACCTAAATGTTCATTAATGGTAGACTAGATTTTTTAAAATATGGCACATATACACCATGGAATACTATGCAGCCACAGAAAAGAATTAGATCATGTCTTTTGCAGGAACGTGGATGGAGCTGGAGGCCATTTTCCTTAGCAAACTAACACAGGAACAGAAAACAAAATCCACGTGTTATCACTTATAAGTGGAAACTAAATGATGAGAACACATGGACACAAAGAGGGGAACAAGGACACTGAGGCCACACTGTGGTAGAGGGTGGGAGGAGGGAGAGGATCAGAAAAAATAATGATTGAGTACTAGTACTAGGCTTAGTACCAGGGTGATGAAATGATCTGTACAACAAACCCTCATGACATAAATTTATCTGTAAAACAAACCTGCACATGTACCACTCAGCCTAAAATAAAAGATTTCCTTAATAAAGAAAATAACTATTTGCCCATTAAAAATAAAATAAAACAACATAAACATAGAAAACAACTGTATGCCAATTAAAAATAACATAAAAAAGAAACAATAGGGAAAGATAATTTTTTTCAATAAATATTGTTGAGAAAACGGTATGTTCACAGGCAGAAGAATTAAATTGGACCCTTACCTCACATCATATACAAAAAACAACAAAAAATGAATTAAAGATATAAACGTAAGGCCTTAAGGCCTAAAACTATAAGAGAAAACATACAAATCTTCTTGATGTTGATCTAGGCAATAAATGTTTGGATATGGCACTAAAAGCATAGGCAATAAAAGCAAAAATAGAAAAACGAGATTGCATCAAATGTAAAAGTTTTTGCATTGCTGTAAAACAATCAACAGAGTGAGAAAGCAACCTACAGAATTGTATAAAATATCTGTAAACCACATATCTGATAAGGCGTTGTTATGCCAAGTATATAAAAAACGGAAACAACTCAATAGTAAAACAATATATATTAAAAATAATGAGCAAAATACATGAAGAGACTTAAATACATTTATCAAACAAAGGCATGGAAATAAACAAAAAGTATATGAAAGGATGCTCAACATGACTAATCTCAGGGAAATACAATCAAAACCACAATGATATACCACTTCACATCTCTTAGAATGCCTATTATCAAAAATGTAAAAGACAACAAGCGTTGGCAAGATTATGAAGAAAAACAAATCCTTGCATATTGTTGGTAGAAACGTAAATTTGTACAGACATTGTGGAAAACAGTATGAAGGTTCCTCAACAATTACCTTATGATCTAGCAATTCGACTTCTGGGTACATATCCAAAGGAAATGAAATCAGTATGTTGAAGAGATATCTGCACTCCTGTGTTTACTGCAGCATTATTCACAATAGCTAATATATAGAAACAAATGTATATCAACAGATGAGGGGATAAAGAAGATCTGATATATACCAAGAGACAGATCTATCTGTCTAAGTAGATATATAAATAAACACAGATACACAGACAGACAGATAGAAAGATACAATACTATTTAGCCTTTCAGACAAAGGAAATCCTGCCATTTGTGACAACATCAAAGAACTTGGAGAACATCATGCTAAGTGGAATAAGCCAAATGCAGAAAGACAAAAACGGCATGATTTATATGTGTAATATAAAAATGTCAGGGTCATAGGAACAGGGAATAGAATGGTGGTTACCAGGAGTTATGGGGAGGAGGATACATAAGATAAATAAGTGTGGAAGATCTAATGTACAACAATGTGAGTATAGTTAACAATATTGTGTCACTAAAAACTGCTAAGATAGTAGCTCGTAAGTGTTCTTCCACCACCACACACAAATAGTAACTATATGAAGTGAGGATATGTTAATTAGCTTGCTTGTGGTGAATATTTCACTGTATATACACATGTCAAGTTGTATATGATTCTCTTTGTCCTAGGATGGTGTTACATCTTGATTAGCCAATTGTGAGTCAAAAATACTGTAAGCTGAGAATGCATTTAATATCCCAATAAACAGACAGTAAAGTTGAAAAACCCTAAATTGAACCATTACAAGTTAGGGACCATCTGTACCGTCAATATATACAATTTTAAATTATCCACTATACCTTAATAAAGTCGTGGTGTGGGAGAGAAGCTGCTGTAAAAGCAGAAAACAGTAAGTATAAGGATATGAGTACAATGACTTCAATTTTTTTTTTCAAATTTTGGTTGTTAACATTAGTACTAACAATAAAAATAACAAAAAGAAAATAGGAAATTCCTTCTGATCCTTCATGTCTCAACACAGTCTTTCTAAATTATAAAGGTTTCTGTGATTACCCTAGATAGGCCTATGCATTCTCTTTCCCATAACTTTCCCAGCTTATACACATACCCACTTCCTTTGTTGCTCTTATCACACTGGGCCATGACTATCTTTCTAAGTATACTGTAAGAGCCCTGAGCAAAAATTGTGCCATTTTTCCTTGAATGGTTAAAACTTAGCACCATATCTAACATGAAGCAAAAACTCAATAAATGTTAGTTGAAAGAACAAATAGAATGCAAGATTTACTCAATAATTACTGCTGATATTTACCTGATTCGCAGAGATAGCTTGATCTCTTGGTTGGTCTTCCATCCCAATCAGCATTTGTCTCCTTCTACATAATTCACAACAGCAAAACAAATAGATCCATAAAAAAAATTTTTAGGACTCAAACATCAACTATTATTTCTATATTTATAGTACAGAAATTTAAAATTTTGAGAATTTCTCTTTAATGTCAATTTATAAGAAATGCACATGTTTTTATTATGTTATTAATAGGTATTAATATGTACTGTATATATAATATGTATTAATATGTTATTAACATGTATTATATTACAGGTATTATTTATAGAATTCAAAGCTCATAGTTGTATCAAAAGTTGTACTTAAAACCACCTACACATTTGGTAATTTGCTGAGACTTTGGGATTTAGCATATAGTTGTACTTTCATCTAACACATCTAAGATTTAATACGGATGGTAATCTAAGATTTAATATGGATGGCAATGTCATTAGTGCACACATTACCCTAAAAAGGCCAGTAATAAAATTTAGATACTGTTTTTAAAGGAGTTTTTTTTAAGTTAAGGGCATAGTCTTTATAATATTTTGGCCAATATGATGCCCAATGTCAAAGCTGTTAAAAGTTTTGTGACTCTTAGCATATTTAATGTGGCTATTGATGTAGTAGAACAGTGAACTAAGTCTGATGTACATTTGTCAAATGTTTATTATAAAACTGCACTACAGAAAAGCCCATTGTGGTAAACATACTACATTTTAGGAGTTACACATAATTTAGTGTCCCAATTATTATGCATTCTAGGAGATGGAAAATGATGTCACTTTCTACCCTAGTTATGAAGAATTCTTTTAAAAATAATTTAGTAAATTTCTAGTTTATTGAAATCTATTTCAAACCACATTAACTCCCTAGGGCAGTTGAGCTAGTTAATACTATACTAATAATTAAACAAAGGATACATATTTGATTCCTATAACAAGTTGGCAACCCACAGAGAAAATCTATTTCATGTACAAAACCTATACCCAGAATCTTTGCTGGTATCTCTCAAACAGCAGGTAACTGATCTCTGGTCAAAAAGTACTAAATCATTACTGTACAAGCCCAGTCAACGAAGTCCAACTTTATACCTCCTCTAAAAGCTGCAGATATGTACCATGAACTAACATCTTGTAGCTTACATTTAAGCAGACTGTTCAAGGGCTATTAAAATGTTATTACTGTACGACCAATTTCAGGGAATAAAGTTGTTTTGTATGGTTACATAAATCATGACATTTTATACCAGTTATGACCATAAGATCATATCCCTTTTATTGTGTTTGTATTTGAGGTAAAAGAACTGTTACATACCTCTTCTTTTGAAGGATCCAAAAATGCCTGTGAAACTCTGGAAAAACTTCTTGTGGGTGACATCTGAGCTGAAATAATTGAACCTTGGCCTGAAATATTTATACCTCCTAGAGAAAGAAGAGATAACTTTAAATATGAGAAGCTGATATTGCTGGGACAAGGGTTAATATTAATTACGGCATTACTCCAACATTCTCCCTGCTCAGCTGGCACAGTGACTAGAATTGACACAATCAGGGATTTGAGTCAAGGAAATTCTCCAAAAATAACATAACTTTTTTGATGTTTACTGCCTACAAATTTCCAGTGGTTCCCATTGCCTTCAAAGACAAGCCTGAAATCCTTATGTAATGCTTTATGCCAGCTTAATCTTCTGCTATAACCACAGCCCACTGCTAGAATTAACTGTTTGCATTTCAGTAATTAGGCAATGAAAAATCATTTAGATAGTGAAATAAGCAAAGCTGTGATTTAGGAAGATTGTTTCATAGAAAAATGTATAGTGGGTTAACAAGAGGAAGATAAAATTGGAGGAAGGTTACTGCAATAGTGAAGAATGGAGAAAACAAGGGTAGGAGCAATGGAAATGGAAAAAAGTGAAGATCAAAATAAATTAAGGAAGTAGAGTAGACAGAAAGTGTGAACTTTCAGGTGCAAAATATAAGAGGAAGAGTCCAGGGCAACTTAGATTTTGTGCCTGGGTGAAATAAAAGGGTCAGGAAAAGGATGATTATTGAGCTTCGTATTAAATTTGAGGTGATCCTTAGCCACTGGAGGAAGATGTCTCATGTTTTCCGTATGCATATGTCAGATATGCATGTGAGTATATTTAGTGACTTGTATAAACATAACAAGGCACACAGATATTGGGTAATGAATATTTCATTTAAAAAGAAATGGGAAACAAAATGTATCATTTGTTAGAAATTAATGGCAGTGAAATATGGAAACAATCTTGGGGACAGTTCTCTGTATTCCAGTCTCCTGAAGCCAGTATGCCAGCATCTTTATCTGTAAGTACAAATGGCCACAGCAGGGACCCTATCTTTTCCACACTTTGCAAATTCCAAAAGGCACACTCATCCAGCAATCACTCAAATATATGGACTAATTACAATATCTATATTCATAAAAAATTTATATCAGCCTTAATTTTTTAGAATAAGCATATTTTATAGTCAGATAAAACAACTTAAAATATATAATAAAACTGTAACTGCATACTTAATAACAGAAAAATTATAACTATTATGTATTTTCTTACCTTTATCATCGAAAATAATTGAGTTTTTAGATACCATCCCATCTCTCTACATGGTACCACATTAAAGAGAAAAAATTACATTAGTAACTGTACTTCCAAAAAAGACTCTGCCTTCTATCAATTAACCAATGAATACAGATGTTTTCCCTCTTTTATCCTGTAACTCATAAAAACTGTTTAGGTACAATACATATCGTCAACCTCCTAGGATACCTTTCATATAATCTCAAATTTAGTCCAAAATTCAGTTCAATATGTAGTAATGTATAAACCTACTTCCCCAATCTTCCCTATTTTGCCTAAAGGCATGGTAATACATGTATGGTTGGTTCTAAAAACTTTAGACTCATTCAGTTTGTCTCAGAAAAATCCAATCTAATCCATTCACACCCAGTCCAAACCAGTGTAATGCTTATTAAAAACACTGTTTAGAATCAAACTAAATTTCATCATTCCAGGATAATTTTATTGGAATAGTATTTTTCTGTGTCTGTTGCCTCACTAGACAATGAGTCTTTTAGAGGAGCAATTATGTCTTATTCTTCTTTTTATCTTGTATTACCCAACTTCTTATATTTATCTGACGTTACCCAATTATTGTTTTCCTTCATTCTAGCTTAGTACAACACCTGGTCAATAGTATATGCTCAATAAATGCAAGCTGTCATTATTAATATTACTGCCAAATATTTGTTTGGGTTATTTTCTGCTAAAATCCATAGTGCGTTTAGCACGAAGCTAACTCAACACTTTAAAGCCAGGAAAATGGATCAGGTTTCATGAATAAAACTAAATATCCCTAAACAATCAGTACTATGCTGCTGAAGGAGAGAGTTCATAGAAATAAAAGTTAAGTAGATAAATTAATAAATACAACACCAAACTGTAAAGCATAATTGTATACCTTTTGATTTATACCATTATCCTGTACATCTGCCTGATAAAAAACAGAAGTTGAGTTTTTTTTCGTAAAATTATTTGAACTATTTTGATGAGCAGCATTTGCTGTATGTCCTAAAAGTAAAAAAAGAGAGAGAAACTCTATAGTTGTTTTTTTAGCAACTTTAGGGAAGTACAATCAAAGTACAATAAATTGTACCTATTTAATTATCTAGTTGACTTTGAAATACATATCCAACCGTGAAACCATCACTGCATTCAAGATAACATTTCTATTATCCGTGGAAGTTTTCTCATGAAACTTTGTAATCTATCCATCTCTCTGTTCTCATACTCCAATAACACTGATATATACCACCAACTCTAGATTAGTTTGCACTTTCTAGAATTTCATATTTCCCTGGCTTCTTTCACTTATCACAACATTGTTGCATATATCAGTGGTATTGTTTTTCTTTTTTATTTCTGAGAAGAATTCTATTGTATGGCTATGCTATAATTTTTTATCCACTTACTTGTTGATGGACATTTGGATTGTTTCCAGTTTTTATAAATAAATAAAATATTTATTTATTTTACTTGTTTGTATTATTTTATTATAAATAAATTTCTATGAAATTTCACGTACAGGTCGTGTATTAACACATTTTTTTCATTTTTACTGGGTAAATACCTAGTAACTGAATGACTGGTCACATGGTAAAAACAGGTTTAACTAAAATAAAAAGCCAAACCAGTTTTTCAAAGTGGTTGTACCATTTTACATATCAATCAGCAGTGCATCAGAGTTTCAGTTCTTTCACATCCTTGCCAAAACTTAGTAAGCAGAAAAATGAAGATCAAAGTAAAATTTTTAAAAAACATAAAAAAAGAGAGAAAGAATGAAATAAAAAACTGGCTCATTAAGATATTTAGTAAATAATAAGCTGAAAAAAATAAGGCCACAAATCAGCAAAATAGAATCTACAAATAATTACTAAATGAAATAATAAAGAACTACATTAAAAATGTATGCCAATAAATTTGAAAATATATACAAGGAACAAATTATCTGAAAAATCCAAATGATCATGTCTCATCACAAATAAATAGATAATATGAAGAGTCCTGTAGCAAAGAAATTGAATATGAGGTTTAAACCTTTCCACAAAAAAGCTCCAGACTCAAGAGACTTCACCTGTGAATTGTGCTAAATATTTAAGCAAGAAATTATGCTAATTCTACACCAACTCCCCCAGGAAATTGAAGAAGAGTGAACATTTTCTATCTTATACTTTGACATCAGAATCACTTTGATACAAAATATCATTACAAGGCATTATAATAAGTTAAAAATTTGTTCAACTCCCCCATGAGCAAACATGCAAAAATTACAAACAAAACAAATAATAAACATCGTGAATAATATATAATATAATATATAAAAATATTATTAATAATATACTGACCATTAGGTTAATATTATAGTAATCATAATTATATAATATAGTAAATTATAATTTTTATAACTATAATTATAAATATCTTATATATCATATACTATAAAGTAATATAAATATATGTGAATATATATTTATGCATAATATAATTTTAATAAATATAAGTATGTTAAAATATTATGTTAATAATATTACATATTATAATATGTAATAAAGATAATGCATTATGAATAAGTAGGGTTTATCCAAGGAATGAAGAAAATCAAAAGTAATTTGATTCATTCAAAAATCAAAGTAATATATAATATAAAGAGAAAAAAGGAGCAGATTCATGTGATTATGTCAAAGACACAGAAAAAATATGATACAATTCAACACCCATTCATGATAAAACTTAGTGAACTAAGAAAAAAGGGGATGTCTTTTTCTAACAAAGGCTATGTTTAAATGTCTAGAGCTAATATCCTAATTCATATGTATCACCTTCCCTTATGTTTTAGAACAATATTAAGATATACACAATCACTATTGCTGTTCAACATTGTACTGGACAGAGAGAAATAAAGGAAAAGTGAATCCCAACAAAATCGCAGCAAGGTATTTTGTAAAAGTTGGCAAGCTGTTTTTAAAATCTGTATAGAAATGCAAAGGCTCTAGAATAACCAAGTCAACCTAGTATAACAACTAACATTGGATAACTCAAACTACTGAATTTCAAAACTTATTATAAAGCCACAATAATGAAGAAAATTGAGGTATTTGCATAAAGACAGATAAATACATCAATAGAATGGAAGAGAATGTTTAGAAATAGGCCCAGCTATTGATGATCACTTTATATTTCCAAAGTTGCCAAAGCAACTAGATTTGTACAAGATAAGCTAGGATCTTCCTGTCTTCTCAGGTAGCAAGGAAGCTATCAACAACCACTAGGGTTATGCCAAAAATACGTCCAGAGTTATAACAAAGGCACTTCCACTGGCCAGAGGTGTTACAACATGAAGACAATGAAGATGAAGACCTAAACCATGATCCATTTTCACTTAATAAATAGTAAATACATTACATTTTCTCTTCCTATGACTTTTTCAATTTAATAACACTATAGTTTATTGTAAGATTACAGTATATAATACAGATAACATACATAATATGTGTTACTCGACAGTTTATGTTTTCAGTAAGGTCAACGGTGGGCTGTTAGTAAGTTTCTGGGGAGTCAAAAGTTAAATGTAATTTTTTTTACTGTGCAGTGGGTCCGTGCTTCAACTATCACCCCTTGATGTTCAAACATCAACTGTACTTCTAGTCATTCTATACATAATCACCCAAACATGGAAACAATCCAAAATTTCAAATTTCTTTCAATTGAAGAATGAAAAAAACGAACTCTGGTGCATCCATACAATGGAAAGGAACAAACCATTGACACATGCTATAACTTGAATGAATTTCAGAGGTATTATGCTGAGTAAAAGAAGATATTTTTATAAAGTTACATAATGTATGATTCCATTTATATGACATTCTCCAACAGAAAATGAACTATAGTCAGGAGAACATATTACTATTTGATAATAATCTCAGAGGTAACATAACTAATAATACCAGAGGTAATTTGGGAGTATTAGTTGGAGGAAGGAGGGTGTGACTGCAAATAAACAAATAAACAACATGAGGGAGATTTTTGGAATGCTGGACTGTTCTACATGTGATTGTGACAGTGGTTACACAAATCTGTACATGTGTTCATACATGTAATTGTAAAAATGTTCCGTTTTGCTTTAGGGTAATTTAAAAACCAAAATAAATGCCTTGAGATCTTTTCTAGGAATGAAAAAAAAAACACAGACAAGCTAAGAAGCTGGAGCAGGAAATTCACTTTGAACTCTGCTTGGAGAATCACCAGCTCCAAAAACGCGTGGGGCAAATTTCTCACAAGAGTATAGAGGATGTGACACTGCACAGAGTTTACACTCATGACTCAATGATGAAATGGAAACCAGGAAGACCTGATTATGGTGAATGGGAAAGAGGAGCACCTCTAAAAACATATGATGACCTGTGATGGCACTACTGTGTATTTTTAAAATTCACAAAAAGACTACAATGACTCACATACCCTTCACTGAGACTGGAGAGTAGGTATACATAACCTGCTCCACCCAATTCTGATATGAATCACATTACTTTACATTTCATCTTTTAATAGGATATTTCTCCCAACCATGCTTAATTAAATTTACAGGTCTGTTCTCCAGACAATTTTCACAATAAACTGGTATCGCAGTGAGGCTAAAAACAGTATTTTCCATTGACCATCCTTTCTTGAAATGTCACTGAGATTCTTTGACAACAGTAAGATCAGTCTGGGATGCATTCAACACTAGATTTTTACAGGATCACTTTGCTTGAGATAACTGCTTTAGAAATTAATAATTCAGTTTGTTGTCTACATGCAGTATAAGATGTAGAGCTGGTATTGCCATAAATTTGCCAGTTGTAAATAATCCTTTGGTATGTTGTAAAAGCTGAACTTTAAAAATGGTACCCATGAACTTTGGAGTTAAATTAACTGAACCTCAGTGATTCTGAGGCAGAAAGACATCCTAGGCTAAGACATCCAACATTTCTGATTCTTGATGAAAACTAAGCAAATTGCATACTCGGGAAGAAAAGATTTTAAACGGTATTTCTTTTATTTTTTAACCAATAAGGCCAAGAAATTTAACATTTATATGTTAATTTTTCTTTGAAATTTAATAATGGGAGATTAGTTATACTGTTCAACTTTTGAACAGTCATACTCTGGTAATATATTTTTGGAGGATTTTTATATTGTAATTTGGGCTTATAGTCTTTCAGTGAGCTCTAATGAACAACATGAAGCGACATAAGTTAAAAGATAATAAAGTGATGTTACAGTAAAAGCCACAGTGAATCTGGAGTAAATGTACTTAATTTCTGACATATTTCAGCGTTTTCTGAGATTATTTTGAGCAAAAATATTTTCTACAAGTTGGTAGGCCTGCTGTATTATATATTTAATAGTAACAGAACCTTCATTTAATTTTCTAAAATAATAATATAATGTCAGGTTCAAAACAGTAAATCAATTATCTAGTTATCAAATTCTAAAACTAATAAAGGCCACATAGCTCTTGATAAGCATCACTCAAAATCAGTCATTTGACAAAAAGAAAACAGAGGATTTGTCTGCATTTAAGTGAAAGAAGTTGTTAAAAAAAACTGTCTTACCCCAAATTATTGTTTAGTATCTAGTGTTTCTTGTCACAATATTCACTTACCACGTGTTTCTGTATTCTGGTCTCCAGCAGGATAAACTAACATTATATCTTCAGAAGTCTTCTTTTTATTCTTTGGAGAAGCTTAAAGAAACATAATAAAACATTTATTTTTACTTATGATGATGACAGCATTACCCAAGACAGACTACTGATCCTTTTATGCCCAAGAGGAGCTGAACTATATGCTAGTCTGTATGTGGGATTGTGAGAGAAATTGGAGAAGATAGAGAGATATGAAATGGGAGAAAAGACAATTCTTGACATATTATCCCTTAATATTAAAAGATACACTTGGAAGGATAGAATGTTTTTCTAGCAGAAAAGGAAATCTGCACCTGGCTCAATTGAAACATGTCAATATCCATCTGGGTGCATAACAACACAGTGGCTGGGCTGAAGACTCAGTAGTCCACAGTGACTGTTGTAATTCTTGGATATGCCTTGCTGCCTGGCATAAGCAAATGCACATATATATATTCCTTTCTTTGTGATAAATGTAATTATAGTTTTGCTTTCCTAACTATTAGGGTAGCAAAAGTTACTCACCGCATGTGTGCTCAAGGGGCTGTTGTTAGAGATGTAAACTATGAGAGTGATCTGTTTCCCCATTCACTGATCACTGAGCAAATTCTTCTGATATTACCTTTCTTCTACTTTGTCCCACTAAAAATTGTCTACTTGTTGGAAGATAACAACATTACAATTGTGGTATAATTCAATTTAATTTGTGCCATGGATATTCTTTCTATTCCGTCACTTTGATAATATAAACTAAACTCATTTACATACTACTTCTTCAACAGTGTATTTAAATAACAAATGTTTAAGCTACTTAAATTCTTCCTACCATATGAGAAAGTTAATGAAGAGGTAGGAATTTTTATAGTTACTGAAGTGATTTCATATATGAGGCATGATATTGCTGTCTTTGCCTCAATGAACTAAGTAGATCGAATTAATCAATTTAGCAAACATGTACTTAGTGTATATGCTTTGAATGATGTTCTATTGAATACAAAGGTGGGAGTTTACTATTATAAACGATTAAGACAGCGGTAAGTATGTAATAAGTGAATTAAAAGTGGTGTAAACTACTTGAGAGATAACCTTCCAGTTAGGGTTATCAACAATGACTTTTTGGCATGTAATTTACAGTGCGGCTTAAGTAACTGTAGGATTTTGATAAATGGAGATAGTAATCAGATCACTCTAAATTGAGAAAAATTCATACAGAGAGGCAGAGAAGTCGGAAAAGTAACATGTGTTTTAGGAATGATCAGTAGTCTAATTTGACTAAACAACAAAATAAATTAAGTTCTTACTATATACTAGAATTTTTACACTCTTTATAGGAATTATCTAGGAGTATTATCTTTGTTTTCAGATAACAAAACTGGCTTAGGGAAGTTAAGTAATTTACAAGCCATAACATTGCTAGAAAATGATAAAACAGGATTGGACTTCTACAATCCAGTTTCAGAGCCTGTGCATATCACCACTAGATCATAGCTGCCATCTTCAAGGATGTAGTGTAAAATGAAGTTAAAAAGTCAGGTAAAGACTGAACTCCAGATGCTGATAAATGCGTGCTGAAGCAGCCTGAGCTTCATTTAATCGATAATAGTTTTAAGGGTAGAGGAAGAAACCATCAGAACAGAGTTTTAAATGTAACAAGCAAGGGTATAAAATGGATTTGAGGCAGGTAAAAAGAAGACTTAACAGAGGCTAGTTGGTAATCTACTGGAGTGACACAGGAAAGCTCTGACCTAGAAATGGGATTGATGAGATACCATGATGATAGCTGCATGGAAAATAATCAGTTTCTTTCCTGATACTACACAGTCAAAGATAGTTAAAACAAGTCTACATTTTGCATTCTGGCCATGAAATTTTATCTAGTATCAGAAAAAAAACCCACTGTAATTTTATAATGTTATAAATAAAGGAAGCTGGTAGAGGCTGGGCAAAACAAAGCCATTCCTCCTTTTAAACTTTCTTCATTTTTTCTTTCTTCATTTATTTCTTCCTTCTTCTTTTCCTAATTCTGTATCGCTTCCCATTCTTACTGGTTGGCAACATAATAGAACACCATGTTGGTATATAATAGCAGTATCTTAGATACAAGTTTGTATCATTTTAGTAGTTATTTTAAATATAGGGAGGTTAGTTACAAATGCAGTATAGGCAAGTCTGTCTCCTCAGCCAATTGATGAGATTGTTACAATTTGTTATCATTGTTACATATATGCCTACTTTTTAACTTGAACTGTAACATAGAAATACCTAGAACAGTGTCTGGCACAAAAGGAGTAGCAAGTGTAAGTACACAGAGTATTACACAAGGATTTTTACATAGATACGCATTTCCTACTTAGCTACATCATCTTTTAATGTTCTCACATTCACCACGTGTTCCATCTTGACCTCTGTATTTAAATGTATTTTTTCCCATATCTTCTCCTTTAAAGCCAGTATCTTGCATTTTTTGTAAATGATAAGCCATTTTTTTCTCTAGAAGATCTTGTTTCTACAATATTAAAGAAAATATACTGGTTAATATTAACTTGCCATTTAGAAATGTAAAACAAATTTTTTTTTTTTTTGAGATGAAGTCTTGCTCTACTGCCTGGCTGGAGTACAGTGGCATGATTTCAGCTCACTGCAACCTCTACCTCCCAGGTTCAAGTGATTCCGCTGCCTCAGCCTCCCAAGTAGCTGGGCCTACAGGTTCGTGCCACCACACGCAGCTAATTTTTGTATTTTTATTAGAGGCGGGCTTTCACCATGTTGGATAGGATGGTCTTGATCTCGACCTCGTGATCCGCCTGCCTTGGCCTCCCAAAGTGCTGGGATTACAGGCCTGAGCTACTGCACCTGGCCAACATAATTCTGTTCAATATATATATATATATATTTTATTATTATTAAGTTCTAGGGTACATGTGCATAACATGCAGGTTTGTTACATAGGTATACTTGCGCCATGTTGCTGTGCTGCACCCATCACTCGTCATTTACATCAGGTATAACTCCCAATGCAATCCCTCCCCACTCCCCCCTCCCCATGATAGGCCCCGGTGTATGATGTTCCCCTTCCCGAGTCCAAGTGATCTCATTGTTCAGTTCCCACCTATGAGTGAGAACATGCAGTGTTTGGTTTTCTGTTCTTGTGATAGTTTGCTAAGAATGATGGTTTCCAGCTGCATCCATGTCCCTACAAAGGACACAAACTCATCCTTTTTTATGGCTGCATAGTATTCCATGGTGTATATGTGCCAAATTTTCTTAATCCAGTCTGCCACTGATGGACATTTGGGTTGATTCCAAGTCTTTGCTATCGTGAATAGTGCCGCAATAAACATACGTGTGCATGTGTCTTTATAGCAGCATGATTTATAATCCTTTGGGTATATACCCAGTAATGGGATGGCTGGGTCATATGGTACATCTAGTTCTAGATCCTTGAGGAATCGCCACACTGTTTACCATAAAAAAAAAAAAATTATATCAATGTGGACTAAAAGGACCAAAAACAGTTAAAAAAAAAAAAATCAAAAGAGGCCTTTGTATCTCGAAACCCCTGGGTGAGAGAAGCCCCCTGAAGAGACAGGTGTAGCCACTGAAGAGATGGAGGCACGCGCTGGCTGTTTCTTGTGGAAAATGAAGTCTCAGAGGACAGAGCCCAGAGTCCAGGGGGCAGAGCCTGCAGCCATGAGTGGCTTTCTTGGGCAGGAGGAATGAAACTTTGTCAACGTCTTGACTGCAGGTGCCCACGTGGATTCCTGAGTTTCTGTGGCCTGGTGGCTGTGATGTCTCCAATTCTCCATTTGGAAAGAGGGCACCCACCACACTGACCTGTGTCTGCCCAGGACTGCATGGGGGTGTGTGATGACACCTTGTCTCTTCAGTTCTCAGGTCTTCAGACAGACACTCTCCTCGAGGTGCCACCCTCCAGGAACCACACCCCAGGAGGTCATCAGGCACGCACACGGTGGGTTCCGGGATCTCATCCCTGAGCTCAATGCCAGGAGAATGGTGGCCCATGCTGCGTTGGAAGCAAGTGTGCTTTGTATGGAGAAGAGTGTAAATCACCTGTGGCAGAAGGTCATCTGCAATGGTTTTACTTATTCTCTCACAGGGGTGGGGTGCAGCTGTCCCCCGAATCTGGGTTAGACTTTGTGGCAGCCTCGGTGAGTAGATAGGAAATGTGGTGTGGCTTCCACGCAGCACTCTGTGTGTCGGGACCAGGTGCATGCCTTTTGGAGATAAAGAGAGATGCCAGGGTGGCCCAGCTGTTTCATAGCAAGCACTAGAATAGTGGGGAAGACCCCTCTGAGAGGGCCCAATGCCAGCCACCATCTGAAGGTGGCCTTGGGACAGACCCCACGTCGGAGCTGCCTGGCAGGGCCACTGCCGACTTTGTGACCTACAGAAGCAGTGAGAGGTGACAAAGACTGTGGCTTTGTGGCTCCTGTGTTTAGATGTGATGGGAACAAGTCTCTTGCCCAGTTTTGTCTTGGGTTGTCTTTCTTAGTCTTACAGATTTATTTACCCCGGATACAAGTTATTTGTATTGTAAGCAAATTCTTCCCATCTGTGGCTCTCATGCTCACTTTATTAATGGACTTTTTGACAAACAGAAATTATTCATTTTATTAAAGACAATCTTATCAAATCTTTTAAAGTTTTTTTTTTTTTTTTTTTTTTTTTTGTAGGTGGTGGAGATGGTCCCAGGGAAGAAGTCTTTTCCTATCCCAAACTCATGAAGATATTTTCCTATATTACATTCAACATGTTGTCTGGCTTTATTTTTTGCAGTTAGTTCTACAATCCATGTGTAATTGATTTATATGCACAGTATGAGGTACTAATCAAGCCTTCTTTTTTAAAAAATGTCATATCTAATTGTCCCGGAACCTTTTATTAAAAAGAATAGCTTGTCCTAAAAAAAAAAAAAAAAAAAAAAAAAAAGAAATGTAAAACAAATTATTTCAAATGTGACAATATATTGAAAATGGATAATCAGTCATGTCTTGATTTGTAATGTTACAAAAATAAGAGAGTAGTAAGGGGCAAATTTCCATTTGTGATCAAACACAAAGAATGTATTTAACATGTATGCAATTTACCTCTCTACATACCATCAGAGAACTAATCCAGTTTCTGATCAGACAGGGTATCTTATCCATAGCTGTCCTGGTGAGTTTAAGTAATTTCTCAATCATCTTCAACTGGAAGATTACTGAGGGTTTAACCAAATATCACTCAGGTCTACCAGAGATAAACATAATATAGTACATAAAATGTGACTTGCCTTTGTGAATTTCTGGGCCTGTAATGAATGTACTAGAAAGAAGATAAATCCATACAGAAAGAACCCCAGAGATTCTTAGAGGGTTCTTGCAGTATTTAGCAAGAAAATGGATTAGCTTATGTAAAAAAAAAACCACCCAAGACGACAGTAAAGATCTTCCTAAAGGATTGGAGAAAACAGTCACTGGAAGCTATCTAGGGATAGAAAACATGCCTATTCCCCCTAGAAATATTTCACTGGAAAGCTATACTGAAAAAACTTTATGAGTCATAGGGCATTGAGTAGAGTACTAAGATGGATCTTAACTCAGTAGTAGGAAATAACTACTAGGAAAGTAGTAGGAAAAGCCAGATAAAACATGGCTCTCACCCTACCAGCAAATCATAAAAGGCAAGACCTGAACAATCAAATTGTTTCCAAATAAATTATCTACATCAAAAAAGCTAAAGAATATTTATAAGAACATAAAAAGATTCAGTATACAAACTAAAATTCATGTCTGGCATCCAATCAAAGAATACTAGGCACGTAAAGAAGCAGGGGAATATAACTTATAAAAGAAGTAGATTGATCAATCGAAATTGACTCAAAAATGACACAAATGTTGGAATTAAAGACAGAAACAATACAGTAACATAATTGCAATTTGTATATAAACAAAGTGAAGAAGAGATATGGAAGATATAACAAGGTCTGAAAGCAATTTCCAAATATGTAAGATGAGTAATACCATGGATGTATTAATGGCAGCATAGACATTGCAGAAGATTAGATAATGGGAATTCAGCAAGAGAAACCATCCAAAAGAAAACACAGACAGGTGAATAAATGAAAGTATTTCAGTAAGATATGGGACAACTTCAAGCAGCCTAATATGCTTGAAGAGAGGAGAGAAAAGATAAAATAAATATTAGATAATAATATCCTAAAATCTTTTAAATTTGATGAAAACCATAAATCCACAGGTCCAAGAAGCCCAAAATACCAATGCATAGAAAACAAGAAAAATTTCACCAAGTCATAATAATCAAATTTCTCAAAACTAGGGATAAAAAAATTTTTTTAAGTTACCAGAAAAACAAATTATGTTACATAGAGAAAAATAAAGTTTAAAAACAGCAGATTTCCTCTTGAAATCAATGTAGAGAAGAAAGTGAAAGAGCATCTTTAAAGTACTAAAATAAAATAAAAAATAGTCAGTGGTGAATTCTACACCCAGTTGATGTTAACCAATACACACTCAAAAAAAAAGTTTTCAAAAATAAAGGTATAAGTATTTTGCAGACATACAAAATTAAGTTGTACTAGGATCAATGTTAAAGAAAGTCCTTCAGACAGAAAAAAAAAATGATAGCAGATGAAAATATGGGTACACAAAAATAGAAGAATGAAGAACATAAAAAATTTTAAGTATATGGCCAAATATATGACTTATTTACATCATGATAAAAGATAAATGATTGTTTAGACAAACTCAGCAATGTTGTATTGTCAGATTTATTACGTATATGTATATAAATAAAATGAATGACAAAAATAGCATAAAGGCCACAGGGAGAAAAATAAAGCATAATATTGTAAGGCTCTTATACTATATTTGAAATAGTATAATATAGTATAATAGCACTTTAAGATCTACCCTAATAAGTTAAAGACATATACTATAATCCTGAAGGAACTGGTAAATTTAAAACAAAGAAACAATATACAAAATAGATACAAAGGGATCATTAAAAATCCAAAGAAAAAGGCAGAAAATGAAGAAAAGAACATAGATGAGACAAATTAAAAACAAATAATGAGATGACAGACATAAAACTAATCATTTTAATAATCACACTAAATGTATATGCTACAAACACCTTAATTATAGGCAGTCATCAGATTTGATATGAAACCAAAGCCCATCTATATGAATAGTAGCCACACACACACACACACACACACACACACACACACACACAGAAAAATAAAGACCCAAATTTGGTCTTAAAAGTAAAACACAAGAAAATAATATGCCATGCTAACAGTAATCAGAATAAAGCTGCAGTGGCAATGTTAATATTACCGTAATATTAGAACAAAGAATAATAACAGAGGAAAATAAAATGTTTTCATAACAATAAAAAAAATCAAATCACCAACAGACATAACAATTCTAGCCATTTTTTAACCTAATACTGAGCTTCAAATAAAACAAAAACTGAGATACTAGACAAATCCAAAAATATAGTCAGAGATTTAATAACTCCTTCAATAATTGAGAGAACAAGTAGACAGAAATTGAGCTAGGATTTAGATTTGAACAATTCTATCAATGAACTTGATATCTAGAGAACACTTACAAAATACCTCACCCAACAACAGTAGAAAGAAGTTTTTTTTCAGGTATACATTTGTATTTTACCCAAAATGACCAGAGTTTGGGAAGATAAAATAAGTCTCAATGTATTTAAAAAGATTTGGGAAATAAAAGTTTTCTCTGACCACAATAAAAGTAAATTTGAAATCAATAACAGAAAGATCTTGGACACACTCCAAATATTTAGAAGCTAAATGACACACTTTTAAATAACTAATGAATCAAGCATAAAAATAAAAGGGAAATTCAACTATTTTGAATTGAATAAATATAAAAACACTGTATATAAAAAAAAATATGGAGACTCTTGATAGACCAGTGTTAGGGAAGAACTTAGAGTACTAAATTTCTGTATTAGAAAAGAAGAAAGGTCTTGAATTAATAACTTCCACCTAAAGAGAGAAAGGTATTTAACAAAAATATCAGAACAGAAACAAACAAAATAGGAAAAAAAAAACAGAGAAATTCATTAAAACTAAAAACTAGCAGTTTGAGAAAATCAGAAAAAGAGAAATAAGAAGAAAAAGAAAAAGCAACTCTAGCCAGGACTGATAAGGAAAAAAAGAAGTTACAAATTACCATATAAGCAAGGAGAATGGGTGACATCACCAGGGTCTAGAAATACGCAAAGGATAACAAAGGGATGTTATAAACAACTTTGTAAATAAATCCCACAACTCAAATGAAATGAAAAAATTACTAGAATACACTATCAAAACTTTTAAAAATAAGGTTTTGAATAGGTATGTAGTTACGTATCTTCCCACAAATAAGCCTCATACCCAAATGTCTTCACTGATAAATTCCATAAAATATATAAAAAATAAACAATACCAATTCTAAAATAATGTTTTCAAAAATCTGAAGATGGAATACATAGAGATTTATGGTATGAGGCCAGCATTACCCTGATACCAAAATCAGAGAAGAGTAGTGCAAGAAAACTACATTTTGCACTAACATCTCTAGGGCAAAATTCTAAACAAAATGTTGGCAAACTTAATACAACAATATGTAAATCAGATCAAGTATGTTGCTTTAAGGATCTTTTGTTCAGGATTCATTCAACATTCAAAAATCAATTTATGTTATCTACTATGCAATGAACCACAAAAGAAAACCTACATATGAATTCAATAAAACCACAGAAGAAAATGTTTGACAGAATCTTACATCCCTTTCTGATAGAAATGTTCAGCAAACTAGAAATATAAGAAAATTTCCTCAACCTGATGAATGACACCTATAAAAAAACCCACAGCTAACCCTATAATTAATGGTGACAGACTTAATCCTTTCCCTTTGAGATCACTAGCAAAGAGAGTCACTAACAAGCAAATCACCAGTCAAAAATAGCTAGTATGTCTGCTTCTATTCAACATTATACTGAAGGTTTCAGGCAGTGTGATCAAGCAAGAAAAAAAAAAATTAAAGGAACTCATCAGAAGAAATAACACTCATTTTATTCACAGAAATGATCATCTATGTAGACTATTAATTGGCATCTAGAAAAAGGAACTACTAGAACTGATTATTGATTTTTAACAATGCAAGATACAAGATGAATATAAATAAATCAGATGTTTTTCTAAATGCTAGCATTAGGTATTCAAAGTTTGAAATTTAAGAAATATAAATTACAATAGCATAAAATATATGAAATACCTAGGGAGGAATCTATGAAAAGATACATAAGAACAGTACACTGCAAGCTACATAGCATTGTTAGGAGAAATTAAGAAGACTTAAATAAATGGAGTGACATATGTTGTTCACGAGTTGAAAGACTCAATATTATCAAGAGGTAAATTGTGCCCAAAGTGACCTATAGAGTTAACGCAAATCGAATTTAAAAACTCAGCAAGACGTTTTGGTAGAAATTAATAAGCTGATGCTATAATTTATATGGAAATACAAAGGGCTTGGGATTAACTAAAACAACTGAAATAGAAAAATAAACGTGTAAGCCTGGCACGACAGATTCAAAGAATTATTAAAGGTACAATAATCAAACAAATAGGTCAAAGAATAGAAGAGAGTCCAAAAATAGACCCACACAAATAATTTTTGACAAAGATATTAAGAGCAAAATCTAAACTATAATATAACAAGATAATTTGCAGTGAAAAATTATGTCAAATCTGAAAATCATGACATAAAAATATTATGAAACACAAAGGAATTCAAAATTTCTTATAGTAAAACAAGATTCACAAAAGACAATTGTAAAATAACTCAATTGGAAATATCAATGTTCAAATGGCTCTACCACACAGTTTAGGCAGCCTGTGGTGTTATCATGCTTAAAGTCAGTGACCACATCTAATGGTCACTCCTCCCAGGCCGATTTTGATCAGTTGTGTTAGTCTTCACTAAAACTGACCAACATTCTTTGGGTAGTAATTGACATTAGGCAAAAGGAGAAGAATCTAGTGCATTCAATTGCTTCTGGAAAACAAAGATACTTTCAGAGATGTGCAGTTTTAGAGCAAAACGAAGAGGACAACTTGGTGAGACTTCTCATTGAAAAACAGTGAAAAACTGAATATTAGATTATATTATTAATAATTATGACTGGGTGTGGTGGCTGACACCTGTAATCCTAGCCCTTCAGGAGGCCAAGGTGGGAGAATCGTTTGAGCTCAGGAGTTCGAGAGCAGCCTGTGCAACATAGCAAAAACCCATCTCTACAAAAAAATAAATAAATAAATAAATAAATAAATAAATAAATAAATAAATAAAAATAAAAAAGAAAGAAAAACAAAAAAGAAAGAAGAAAAATAATCATGGTAAATTGGAATAAGTTGAACCTGCAAAATGAGCAGTGAGTCTCTGATGGTACTGAAAGATACAGGTAACAAACAGAATGAAAGTTAAGCATACATATTTAAACGTTCAATATTTTTACAAAATTGCTGTGTAACAGTATATATCAATACAAATCAAATTGTGCAAATCTTACACTCACACCTAGGTTTGTTAACAATAGCCTACCTAAAACTGCTATTTAGAATTTTAGATCAACATTTATCAACATGCTAAGTTGACAATGACATTTTGTTAAATGAAAAAAACAGTCTACAGAACAGCTTGCGAGGTATAATAACATGTTTTAAATTATTAATTGGAATAAATAAATATTATTAGAAACATTGTGGGGGGGTGTATGTGTATATGTGTGAAACTAAAATGTTGATAGGGTGGTGGTGGTAGGATTTTTCTCTTTATATTAATTTACACTCTAAATCACAAAATCTTATATATTATTAAAGATGAAAAGTTAAGCTAAATAAAATTAACCAGTGAGGAAAAATTGAGAAATCCTACAAAGAATTGCTGGTTCTAAAAAAAGTTAGTCAGTCATTTAATTTTTTCATAGTAATTACAAGTACAGTTTATAGTGTAAAAATAAAGCCAAAAATAGTTATATCACATAACAGAGCAGTAGTTTTTATACTATAGTCAAATATACTAAAAATTTCCATAGCTTTCAGTTTTATATCATGCATATCATTTGGAGTAACTGGGCAACAGTCATCTCACAAAGTGATTTGTACTTCAAAAAACCAAAACAAAATCTTCTCTTCGAACAGCTCAAGTTAGAGGTTAAAGCTCACACTACCTTCCTGTCACTCTCTTCTCTGTTTCTATGCCGTTGTTCTTCTATCTTCTCTTCTCTTTTAACATCTTCTGCCATCCTTGTCAGAAGTAACATCTCTTTTGTCTTCCATTCCTAGAAATCACATTGTTACTGCACTTGGTGTGTGTTCCTTTCACAACGATATCTTTGTATTTTGTCCCACCAAAAAGTATATTAAACAAGTCAGAGCCTAATAGAAATCAGGTTAAGCATAATGAAAGGCATACATTGGGTTTAGAATATACTTTTCTTACTGCACTCTTATTAGGAATGCAAATATGATAATTTTTTACTAAAGCTAAATTAAAAAAAAAATTTGTCTCCACAATAAGGGCATTAAGAGAGTTAAATAGTGTCTAGTTAACTTTCTCACTATTCTTTAAGAGCAGAAATTGGCTCATATACATACTTTGTGGTATCCACCTCATTATTTTATGTAACAACTTGTATATTATAGCTATGAAGGAAATTTAATGGTAACAAATTATTTTGAACTGAAATGACTTCAAGCAGTACAATGTACAGTTAAAATTATTTACAAATGCAACAACTGTACACAACTTTTCTCTTAATGTTTTAAAGTTATGTCTCACCTCTTCTATTTTTCTACGAAGAGTAAGTTTTCTTCTTGTATGCTCTCGCTGTCGTCTTTCTTCTCTATCCATCAGGAATAGGCGTTGTTCTTCTGCTGTGCGTTCAAGTTGTTCTAGTTTTCTACTTATCATATCCAAATATCTGAGTAAGAGCGTAAATATTACTAAAGGTGAATTGGCTGTTTCTTTCACGATGGCATCATCTGCTATGCCATTCCCAAACCACTTCCTTGCTTGCCTTTCATTTCTTGAATTACAGGAATTTTACTGTTTTTCTATCAGTACTGTTTATAAACTTTTAAAACAGCCAAACCCACCATCTCACCATGTTTTACTTATCATAAGGTCTCTCCACTACACAATTATCTGATATAATTGCAAAGATAATGGTAAAAAGCAGAGCAAAGTTACTCAAGACATTCTGCAAAGTGAGCATTCATAACTCAGTAGATTTAAGAGTATGACCTTACAAAAAAGGCTGAAATAACTGAAACAGTAACTTCAAATGTGGAAAAAAAAAAAAAAGTACATTTGAATTCTCTAAGAAAAAGCGGGCACTGGGTTCCTTGTAATTTACAAGTCCTTGAACAAATCTCTCATCTGTAGTCTGGATCTCTGGTACATCAATATGTAATATGGCAACAATACCACATAATGAAACTGTGGAATGAATATAAAAGTCAGGTAATAAAAGTCAGCCCAATTCCTTACCCCATCCTTAGTGCAGGAAAAAGAACTATAACATCCTTTACTTCCTAAGAAATGGGCTTGTCCATGGAATGGCCATGATTGAATATGACTGAGTCGTATCTAAATGAGCTTACAATCCTTTTTATAGACAACACATATTTATATATTGGCATCAGTTATTCCAAACTTACTTTTTTTGACTTTGCACTAACTTCCTCAAAAAATGCTATCAGTTCTTAAAGATAAATCTTAAAAAACTGTTATTGTTTGAGGCATGTGTTAAAGATCCTTTCTCTTCCTCTTCTAATATAGAAAGATTTTGAATCTAATTTTTCTTTCAATAACCAGTTTGGCTTATACCTTGGGCTTCCAGCAACCCTAACTCCTCTGGTAGAAAATTCTTCCACCTCTTGGTTTCACTTACTTCCTCTCCACTCTGAGGGATCCAGGAGAGTGGTGTCTAGTACTTAAAAAATTGTCTTCAATTCTTTCTAGCATTTTCCAGCTTATTTGGTTCCACAACATACACATAAAATGTGCATCAACTTTAATCTTACCTATGCCTCATTAGCCGCTCCTGGTCCTTAATAGATTCGCTGCCCTCCTTTAACAACCAGTTTTGGACTTGTGCAACATCACAATGTTGAGGGATTTGATTGTTTTCCGGTACGTTATGTAGTTGTTTTGCAAGTATTCTCTATTTAAGAAATGTGTGTATTACATATATATAATTTTTTTATGTTTCCCCGAAATAAAACCATTTAAATTCCTATATCTTATAAATGCTTATTTCTGTTTAATTGTATTTACATCTATTTTGAATCCATTAAAGACCACATGGCCGCCAACGTTACACAAAACTCTAAGCCACCTTATCCCCCTCTCGAAAATAAAAGGTAAATATTTCAGTTTATTTGTCCACTTATTCAAATAAGGTAAATAAAAATATGCAGGAAGCAGAGAAAAAACTGGACAAAATGAAGTGGGAAAAACAGAATACTAGAAATATAGTGAAGTTTTCTCGTTTGTATTTAACCCTTTATCTTTAGGACATACATTTGCAAACACTCATCATAAATACACTTTCTCATTTCGATCCAAACCTCTTGACCCTAAAATCTGAATTCACACAAGCGCGGCGCGCGCACACACACACACACACACCACACATACACACATCTTTGAGTCAAAAATCAAAAGGAAGTCACTATCCATAACCATTCACTCTACACCCAGTCATTCTATTTCACATTCAAGAACAACATTTTTACTGAATGAATACAGGTGCTCATGTATGAATACAAACACAGAGTGTACATATTCTTGAATCACTGTAGAACACTACAGGATTTTTGTTCTTTCCTATAGCTCAAACTGTTTTAGCTTTCAACTTAAGAATCTTCTGCCACAAAGAGATGTTTATTATTGGCCTTAGCTCGGGGAAACAATACATCTGACTAGCAATTTAATTATGAATGATGCCAGCTACCACTGGTGTGATAGAGACCCAGTCCCTTTCCCATTTCTTGGCCAAATATAGCAAATTCAAATATTGTATTTCCTACTCTAAATTTCCATTGGAAAAAATAGTCAATTATTTGTCAATAATAAAGGTCCAAAATATGATAAAAGAACACTCACATATAAACAAGAATTTCTTCCAAACTCTGTGTAATAAACAAAATTTAAGTATTGACTACTTGTTCTCTTAGATAGTTTCTCTCAAAGTCTAATTTTAAACTGGTAAGATATGCCTGTACTTATTCCAATTCTCTCAAGGTACATACAACCTACAAACAAAATGAAAACACATGGATATTAAAAAAATGTAAGTATGTTAATAATATATAAATATTTTAAATATATCTTTAAATCATTAAATTGATTTAAAAATCACTTTAAATAGCAGTGACATAAAATTCAAATGACATTTTGGCATAAAGAGTAATAAACTGCTAAAATCTTGTAAGTAGTATCTTCTCAGCATTTGTTAACAGCAAAGAAATTCTATCCAAAAACACATTACTTAGCTGAGGCAGGAGTATCTCTTAAGGTCAGGAGTTTGAGATGAGCCTGGGCAACATAGCAAGACCCCATTCCAAAAAAAAAAAAAAATTTCAACCAGCTCGGACGGCCTGTGTCTGTAGTCCCAGCTACTCAGGATGCTGATGCAGGAACACAGCTTTAGCCCAGGAGGTCCAGGCACCAGTGAGCCATGATTGCACCATTGCACTCCTGTGTAGGCAACAAAGTGAGAACCTGTCTCTAAAAAATATGTACATATTGCTTTATTAACATTACTTATATTGTAAAAGGAGTTTAGTCTATACAATTAGAGTTATCACAGTAATAATTTCAATTAGCTGTAACTGGATTATAATTTTAAGTGTAATAACATTGTTCAACTCCAATAAGGATATACTCTATGAAGGTTCTAATAGACTGAATTTTGCTAAGTTTCTATTTCATCTCAAGATTTTAAAAATATATGGAACATAATTCTTGACAAGTATACAGTGCCATTAAAGACAGAGAAAGAAGGCTATAATACATGTGGGAAAATTAATATATCTTTGTGTTCTCAAGTTATTTGTCAATAATCTTCTGGTATTACAAAGAAAAAACGTGAAGGAAGAAGTACGTTCGTTTAGCAACAACTGTTGTCTGATTTCTCTTGATTCAAATATGAAGAAATTGATAGAACTGCCTATTAAATATTGTCTCATGACCAAGTTAAAAGTGACACAGGCCCCCCAAGTGAGGTATAGAAACAAGTTTATATCATGTTTTAAAGTGTTTAATTGATTAAAAAAAGAAGTGATTTTCAACCCACTTTATTATTGCTGGTGATGTAGCCACCTTTCTTTAATCTCTTCAAAATATCTTTGCGCTTATAGTATGCTTTTAAATGTGGATCATGGAGGCTTTTATATTGGGTTTCCAAAAGTCGACAATAGGGATCAGTCAGGTTAAAACCATAAGAAGGTCGAAAAAGCTGCAAACACAGATTCAAAAAAAAGTAAAATTAATGTATTTTCACTTTAAATAATATATCAAAATGATTAGAACATTCATTGAAAATAAAATGTGTCAGAAGAATCTGAAGTGGGGAAAAAGAGCCACAGAATAATTGGAGTTGGGCATGTTTTCCTGCCTTTCCCTTCCTCTCTCCTTACCTGCATAAATTATCCCAAAGACTCACCTTCACCTAATCAGTTCCTCCTCTAATCCTCTTCAGCCCCTGACTCTCAGCCAAATAAGAAAAGAGGAGAGGAAAAGAAAGGGAATATATTTCTTTTCATACAGTTTGTTTTAAGGTACAAAGCCAAAACCAGGATTCTCTTCTCCTCCTCCCTCTCTCAAATCAAAATATTCTATTCAAAACATAAAAGAATTAATAGTAAGTATGATTATATTTCAATCACCTTAAAATGAACAAAAAACCAGAAAATGTTTCATCAAAATTTATGAAAATAACTTTAACAAATAGTAGAAGCAAAACTTAGATGTTAACGATTTTGAGTTAAAGAGTCATTGCCTCTTGGGGCTTTTAATGCAAGAAACCAACAATCTCTGAGTGCCAGAGTAAGAAGAATACCTAAGGTCTATATTATGCAGTTCACCGTATTAAATAACCAATTTTAAAGAATATTGATAGAAATTGAAGTTTTTCTATTTGTGTGAAGACCAAATACACCTTTAGGCAATAGTCATTAACATATAAAAGGAGGAAAAGATAATCAGTTACTAGTCATGTTTTTACATCTGCTGCATTAGAGAAAACAGCTGAGTTATTCAATCTCACCATGAATTAGCAAAGTGAGTTTTTGGTTTGAGTTCTGTTAGTTTTTCAATAGCAGGATGGTGATAATGGCTTATTGGGGGACCTCTGAAATAGAAAAAGTAGAGAATTAGAGTAGGAAATTGTGTTAATGTTTTTACATCCCTTTCTGTTTTAAGTTTGCTGGGCCAGAAAAACATAAGTTTTATAATAGTTCAAAATAATGTTAAATCAGGAATTGGCTCAGGAGACAGATAATTGGAGTATGTGAGTAATATGGGAAACCAGAGAGCATCTGCCCTGTTTTCCGGTATGAAATTCAATTTATACTACCACTACAACACTAAGCACCAATCCCGACATGTCTGGAGGCACCAATTTGTGACCTCTGTTTCCAGTCTAGCTGTAACCACAGTTGCAGTCCAACTCCTGAACACTATGGCATCTGACTGGGTTGGACCCTAATAAGAACTCTCGAAAGGTAGGTAGGAGAATGCTTTGCATATGGGTAAAAGGTAGATGAGAGGAACAAAATAAGATACTAGCTGTTCCTTTGCATTTAAAAGTTTCTTTAAGTTTCTGACCTCTTGTTTAACATTAAACTTTAATTCCTTCCAAGGAGCCTAATCAGAAAACTAGATTACCTGATTACCAATGCTCTACTGAGAAGGCAAAGAAAGAACTCATAAAGGGGAAAGTCTTGAATTAAATGACTCTACATACAAAGCTCAGATCTTTCCTGGAAGGGAAATAATCAATAATAATAAGTCAAGGAGTGGATTGAATATTTCTTTCAGATGTTGACATTTAGCTGTAAACTTTTTAAAAATGTTACCTTTTAGCTGTGACTTTTAGCATATGTTTCTCAAGACCAAACCTGAGCTACTGACCTGTAAACTAAGAACGCCTTTAAACAAATCCACTCATTTGAGCCAGAGTAACCTTTCTATTGACAATTAAAATAACTGGTTGCTCTTAAAATGTCAGTATTAACCATTACCTCATGAAGGAGAGTACACTGAAAGAGAAAATTCTTCAGAGAAACTAGTATGGTGCCCAATTATCATTAAATGAATAAATTTAGGGAGAATTAATGTAATAATAGAGAGAACATCTTTTTGAAAAGCAGTAGACAAGTGAATTAATGGTCGACAGAGAAAATGGCAATAGAGTAAAAAGAATATATTTGAGGGAGGAGACAGAAGTCGCAGTTCTAAGTTTATACACTAAAGAGGAATTATATCACCTGTAATGGAATAAATTTCAAGCACGTTTTTGCAAAGTTAGTTTGTGTTTGTGACTCAAATTGTGTGAAGTTGGTATATTTGTAGTTCACTTGCTCTAATCTAGTACAATAGATTAGGTTTTTTTTTAAGGGCAATTATACTTTTTTCAGAAACAAAACTTGTTTTAAGAAATCATGTTTATTTAGTGTGTTAGATTGACAGTATGCCCCCAAAATTCATATATAATCCTAACCTTCAATGTGATGGCCTTAGGAACTGGGGCCTTGGGGGATAATTAAGTCGTAAGGGTGGAGTCCTCATCAAGAGAGATAATGTTCCTATAAAAGAGACCACAGGAAACTCTCTATCCTTCTTTCTACCATGCAGGGAGGTAATAATGAAAGGACTACAAAGGGCCCCCACCAGAATCTGACCATGCTGGTGTTCTGATCTTGGACTTCCAGCTCCAGAACAATGATAAATAAGTTATTTCTAAGCCACCCAGTCTATGGTACATTGTTATAACAGCCTGAACTGAATAAGACATTATGCAAGTATCAAATACCAAGGGGTTCTACTTACTTCTGATGACATCATAGACATAAGGGTAAGTGGGCCACTTAGAATTCTTTCCTGTAGAACTTTTTGCAAAACTGATAAAAGCAACCAGTCAACAAGAATGTACTAAACCTCCTTCAGCATTGACTACTTAGTCAAAGGCTGGGGAGGTTTGGGGGTAGGTGTGGTGTTGAGGACTAAAAACATGAAAAGGCTTAAGGGAAGTATACACTATAATCCAGTACGATTAAGTATGGTTTGTATAAGTGAGATCATACAAATCAAGGGCAATGTGAACTCTAAACAAAAATAAGTTAATGGCGGGCTATCACAGTTCAGAGACTCTTGATAGCTCAGATTCATAGACTGGGGAGAAGAAGACAGGGTATGTCAGGTTTGGGGGCAAAGTTGACAAAATACATAAGTATTAGCACAGTATTTATGGGTAGGTGTGAAAGACTCAACTTGAAAAAGCTGAGCCTCTCTAGTTGGAAACAATACTGTATGGAAAGGCTGGGGCAAATTATGGAGTCTCTTCCTCATTGAGGCAGGGCTTTCTTTCATTAAAGTAAGGTTAAAGTACTAAACACATTAACTCATTTTAAGTCCCACTGTTTCGGTTCTTTTTTATTTTTTTCTATGTGTAAAATAGAATTCAACTCAAAACAAAATAATGTTTCCCGTAAAGGGAGTTTGGTCCAAGATACTGTCAGTTAAAATCGTAACACATAATTAAATGGCAGCTAGCACTAATAACCTTTCACCTTCTAAACATGTTTCTAAGTACATCAAAACTTACTATATAGGTATATATGAAGTTTTATTATAAGGAATATTAATATCATACCGTGAATTGTAAATTAAGGACTAAGAATCTAAACTTTCTGGAATATTATTATGTCCAAACTATATTAGATGAAAGTGCTTCATATGCATTCTAAACAATACCTTCGGTCAGATGTGGGATTTGTTTTTTCCTGTAAATGTTGATGCAAATTCCTTTAATGGATTTTGTATGATGCAGCCTCTGAATTGAACAGCAAGTAGTAAAGGGTAAAGGAAAGAAAGATGATAAAAACTTGTTCACCTTTTCACCGAAATTCGTAGTATAGAATACAGCATGGCTTCCTGGGATCACAGGCAGCTTGACCCCGAGAGGTAGGTCCAGTAGCTGAGCCGGTCCAACCCCTGCAAAGTGGGTTTTGTGCACACCCTGTCAGACACAATTGGAGAGTTTTGTCTTTCCTTTTAGACAGTATTCGTTTAGTTTAGACCAATCTACTTCCACTGCAACCAAAGACTCCGAAGAATTACACAATCAGGGTTCGGGGCATTCTGAAGTCCTCCCATTTTCCCTGGTCACCAGCTCTCCTGGCGTCCCGCGCCTGCCAGTTGCAGCCAGTACAGTCCGAGCCACCACCACCGCCCCCGGGCGCCGCAAGAGGGCAGTCTCCTGAAGGGGGACAGTTGGGAGCCTCGCGACCCGCGTGTGGCGACCCCTGCCCCGCTCCCCAGCAGGCCTGCGGCCGCCAGAGGGCGACGCCGCCCAGCTTGCGGCCACTCACGTCTCCGCACTGCTGGGTGTCCGCAGTCAGGACGCTGGCGACCGTCTTGGTGACGGCGATATTGGCAGGCTTGGAGCAGGCGCCGAGGTACAGTTCCATGGCCGGCACGGGCCCCCTCAGCCTCTTCCTCACCCGCCCCGCTCTCCTTCTCTCGCACCCCGTTGTCCCTCTGTTCCGACCTGACCAAGAATGGCCAGAACCCAACGACCGCAGCCCCGCCCCCCGCGTTCCAGGCTTCCAATGGTAGCGGCCCCAGAAGGGCGGTGGCCTCCTGTGGGGCGGCTCGCGCCAGTGCCTAGAGCGCCCTCTGAGCTGGGAAAGTCCGTCCTAGAGGCCGGATCTGAGAGGAGCACAGTTGAAACTTCATCTTTCTCTGAAACCATCATCCCTTAGCCAATCCTAACGAAAAAGTATAAGCTTTGTTGGTGGGTAACTGGTTCATTTCCTCTGGCCTCCGAGGAGCCCTGTTCCGTTCAATAAAAATTCCCGAGTGATTGTTTTCGCCCTTTCTACATCTTCCCCCATAGGGGCCACACCCCAACCCCAGGCTCCCACAACTTCTTCCCACACCAGGTCCACAAGGCAGACGCGTTGGCTTCAGGGGCTCATTGCCTTCCTCCTGCCTCCTCTGTCCCTTAGGTTTCCTTCTGCTTTCTAGCGCTCTTTACCACTCTCCCACTGCCTCCTCTCTGCTCTTGCTGCTTGATCCTATTTAACTCTTTCTCCTCAACCATCCAGCCGAAATTTATAAAGTGCTTGACCCTTCTGGGCCAGTCATTGAGCTAGGCACTGGGTAGGACACAGCCGTGAGTAAAATATGGCCCCTGCCTGTAAGAAGCTAACTAGACTGGGAGTATTCTGAGGGCAGAGACAGTATGTGTCTAACCCACCTGTTGTTTAGACTTAGCTTCATACTTTCTTTGGTCCACTGCTGTTCTCTTTTATTTCTGGCCCGACTAGTAATAACAGTTACCATTTCTTGAGAATCTACTAACTTGCATATACTGTGCTAAACACCCTTTTAAACATTTATTTATTGTAATAGCCTTATCAATAATTACCCTTTATTTTTCAAAGATTGAGGAAGACTGACAATTACTTTTAAATGGTGGCTCCTGAGACTGTTTTCTTAATCAGTGCACTCTGCTTTCTTTGTTGTAATTTCACACATGTGCTTAGGACTCTTAAATTTGAAATCTAAGCTTGGGATATAGTCTATTGCCAGCTTTCATATGGATATCCCACAGTCATCTTAAATTCAGTCTACTCAAATCTCAACACACACACACCCTTCACCAAACCAGGAAAAAAGCAAAGGCTTCTTCCTGCATTTCCCATCTCAGTGACAATGCCAAAGTCTACCCAAGCCAAACTAAGGAATGCTTCCACATACTTCTTTTTCCCCTTATCTACCATGTTTAGTTGGTCCCTAAGTCCCACTAATTTTATCACTAAATTAATTTGCCTCATTCTATCTACTCCTACTTTACTCTCTTGGTTAAGCTGCTAATCATTCTTTGCTTATTTGCACCATTGCCACAGCTTTATAACATCTCCCTGCCACCCTCTATCCCAGCAATCCATCTTGTATCAGTTTGATTTTTGATGGCAAACTGACCATTTATCTTCCTCACTTTAAACTCCCAACTGCCCTCAGCACAAAGTGTGTAATAGCCTCTGTTACTTGGTGTCTGTATCAGTTTCTTACTGCTAGCAAATCACCACAAACTTAGTGGCTTAAATTACCACAAATATATTATCTTACAGTGATGGAGGTTAGTAGTCCAAAGTGAATCTCACTGGGCTGAAACCAGTGTATTGGAAGTGCTGTGTTTTTTCTGGAAGCTCTAGATCACAGCCTATGTTCTTGACCTTTCCAGCTTCTAGAAGCTGCCTCTTCCTCACAGGTTAAATCTGGCAATGTAGCATCTTCAAATCTCTCTCTGACTCAGACCTCTGCCTCCTTCTCTTCTACACAATTAAAGAATCTTTGTGATTACATAGGGTCCATCTAGGTTATCCATGCTAATTTATCTATCTTCATATCAGCTGATCAGCAACCTTAATTCCATTAGCAATCTTAATTCCTCCTTGCTATGAAATAGTCACATACTCAGTCTTGGAAATGAAGACATAGACGTCTTTGGGGTACTATTATACTACCTTGCACAGCCCTGTTTTTGTCCGTTTCTGAGACATAACTCCCCTATACTACCTCTCAGAATTGAACCTCAAAAGACACCAAACTGTTTGTGGTTAGTTCTCTACATGGGGCCTGCTTATTCATGCATGATTCTGCATCTTTGTTTATGCTGTCCCCTCTGTCTGACAGCCCCTTTCAATTCACTACTTGGCTAATTTCAATCAGCCTTTAAAACAACTCAAGTGTTACACCTCCAGGAAGTTTTTCTGACTTTCTAAGCTTTTGACAAATTCTCTCTCTCTGTGTTTTCTTCCATCTTAACATTTTCACATTACAGCAAGAATATCTCTTTACCTGTCAGTCTCCCTTTACTAGAATATAAATTCCTTTAGGGCAGGGGTTGGCTTATTCGACTTGTATACACAGCACCTAGCATAGTGCTGAGCAAGCACTTAGTGAACACTAAGTAAAATTTTGTTTCCTGAGCTAGTCAGACATGAATGAGAACCCACTGAAAACTTTTAAGCTAATTATTGTTCTAGAAGAACACCCTGGCAACAATTTTGAAGGTGGATTTATGGGGATGAGAATAAAGATCTGGGAGACTTCATGATTTGTAGACATGCAGAGAATGGATTTGAGAAAATTTTAAGAAGAAAACTTTCAAAACTTTGACCTCTTCCTCATCTCACCTACTTTTAAAGGAACAGAGTTGGTGGGAATCATTGCTGTGAGAAGCTGATGGTGGTGGATGACAAGCTTGAATTTCCAGAGGAAATAGGTAAGCCAGAAAAAATGAATTCTCCAAAAAATGAAAGAAAAATCCACATCAAATAGGTGAGGTTTTATGAACATTGGGGTATTTTCGGAGACTTTATTGTCCTTTTCTACATAACAAACCGTTTCCAAAATTTAGTAACTTTAAACAATGATTTATTACTTCTCACAGTTCTCTGGGTTTGCTGGTGTTGTTTGGGTTTGCTGGTGCTGTTTGGGTTTGCATTTGCTTAGCTAGGGCTGGATCATCTAGGATGGCTTCACTCACATGTCTGGGCTCTCAGACAAAAACAAACAGGCTGGAATGATTGAGATGGCTGGATCACTGTCTACATGTATTCTTTTCATTCTCCAGGAAGTTAGGCAATATGGTTTTACATTTTAGTTTCAAGACTTCCAGCATCAAGACTGAGTAAACATTAATGTGCTTATGTGCTTCTGAAGTATTTACTCACATCACGTTTGTTATTGTCTGACATAGAAGGAAACTAGCTACATAAAGACGTGGATACACTAAGGCTCCCATTCGTAGGGCTCATTGCCTCAGAAATCTACCAAAGATCACTCTCTGATCAAATGATTCGCATTCCTTCTATATTCAAAACACACTTACCTCTCCTAAGACTACCAAGAGTCTCATTCAGTAATGTGATTAGGCTTAAAAATTTAGTGTTTTGTAATCTACAATTATGTCCATGGACAGCTATTTGAATACTGCCTGTATGAATTCAAAGACCTATGAACTAAAAAACAAGTTGGGTTAATAATCTATATATGAAAAACCAATTTCTCCAAAACCTTAGGCTTAAAGCAATATTAATTACTTATTGTGTCTAGTGGTTTCTCTTTGGGTTTGGAGATTCAAATGAGGCACAGAGGAGACAGTTGCTCTCTGTTCTATGATGTTTGGAACTTCAGCTGACAGACTTGAAGACTAATAGCTGGAATCAGCTCCTTCAAAGTTATAGGAGAAAATTTTCTCCTTTTGGGTCTTACTTTTGAGAACTGTTAGAGAAGACCAGAAGAGACCTCAGTTTAGGATTAATTATTGCTTTATTCTCCACACTCCACCCAATGACTCATCCCATCGAAGCTTTTCCAGCCTAGCTGATGGGAACAGGTAATGTTTACAGCTGTTTGTGAAAGCCCAGTACTATCTCTTTTGAGTGATTATTTTCCATGGCATATGGTAGTTTTCTCACAGTGTTCTGACAAATAGGCAGGAAATACTCAACGACAATTCTCCGCACATCTTGAAAGTTCTTGTTCCATGCAGCTGTCCTCTCTCTACTTTGCTTTTGCATACTCTAATTATATCTGCCTTCCTGGGCTCTGGGTTCTGTCTCCTGAACTCAGGGAGTCAGATGAGCTCCATCTGGTTTCTCCTTACCTATGCTGTGGTTTGAAAGTTCTCTCAAGTTTTATCAATATGCCTCACCTCTTTTGTTTATTGTTTTTCAGAGATCATTGACCATTCCCTGATCTAGTGTCTTGAAAATTGTTGCTTCATATATTTTGTTTGTTTTTTAGATGTTTCAGGGCATATCTTCTCCATGGTACTCTGTCTTGAGAGGAAATACAACTCAATTTTGCTTGTGATAATCAGTGTAGAGTTTTTAATTCTTTAGCTAATAATTATTTTATTTGGAGAAAATCCTGCATATATGAATGTTAGTAGATGTTCAATCCACTTTTTAGTGAAATTAAGATGGGGCACATATTTTCATTTGGCATGCCTTGGAGGAGGGTCAAGGGCATGTGACTGTCTGAAAAGGAATTAATTCAAAGACTCTTGTACAGCTAAGGACCATGAAGTCAGGGTTAATGTCTGGTTACAGCACAAGCAAAAACATTTTAATCCAACTACATCTGTGGCTTTATGTTGTGTTTCCATTTTCCTCAACTTGGATTATTTCAGACCTTCTTAAATATTCTCTGAGCTTTCTCAAATATTTTCTCTCTAGGTTAGCCAGGTTGATTTTCCATTACTTTCAACCCAAAGTCCTAGCTTATATAATAATCACTGTACTCTCAGGTTTTCCTCATTTTTATTTATCATTTCTTAATGTAACTATATAAGCAGAATATTTAAATGTTTGGGTTTTACCACCTCCTTATGTCTAACTGAGAAATAAAATACGAGATCTTTCGGATCCTCTGTTGGTCAGGATTTTCAAGAAAAACAGAACCAACAGGGGATATGTGTTTATGTGTCTGTGTGTGTGTATATTCCTCTCTATATATACTGAGAGCCGTCTACATATGCCAGTAGCCCAGCAAGCTGAGAAAGAATTGCTGTTTGAACCCAAAGGCAGTCTGTTGGCAGAATTTCTCCTTGGTTGGGGGAAATTAGTACTTGTTATGTTAAGTCCTGCAACTGATTGGATGAGACCTACTCATATTGTGAAGGGCAATCTACTTGACTCAGTGTCTACTGTTTTAAATGT